TATCCTCAGGCAGGACCACAAAACGTGGTTCTCCTTGGGAACACCGGTGAACGCTATCTTACTGCTAAGAAGCCTTTGATTGTTTAAATTCCTTTTTCTTACATAAGGGTTCATCTGGGAATAAAGTGTCCAACAGCAAACCCAGGAGATGCTGCACTGGGCAAACCGCTGTCTCGGGACTCCCAACCCCCCGAGGTGTTGAGAGGCTTTGCTCCAGACCTGCCCTGGGAGCAGCAGACAGCTCGGTGACAGCAGACGTCCTCACCTTCTGGGGCTCGGCGAGGAGGTGCAGCTCTCCATACACTGTGATATCGACACTGTTGACGGGCCCGTTATGCTCAGCATCCTGACCCTCGGGGCAGGCGGTAAGGTTGAACTCCCCGGTCTGGCCCACGAATCGAATGGGTTCATTATCATCATCGCTGTCTGCAGCCTGAGCAAGAGGAGACACAGCAGTGAGGCCACCCAGAGCCATCCCTGAGGAGCCAGAGATGTCCCCCGCTGAGGTCACAAGAGCACCCGCCTCTCAGGAGGGCAGCGATACCTCCCCACCTTCCCCACGGACCGTGTTTTTATTCAGCCTCTCCCCACAGCGCTCAGGCTGGGCTAAGGCTGAACCCCAGGGGGACCTAGAGCGCAGAATTTCAAAACACTGGAAAGACAAGAGAGGCGAGGGCTCTCCTGCTGGTGTGGGACCAGCTCAGACTCGTCACAAACACACTCAGGAGGCAGCTCTGGCCTGGCAGAAAGGTGAAGCTTTAAGAATCAACTTCAAAGGGAGCTCAAAACAGCGGGGAGCAAACCCCATGGGGCAGAGATGGCTGCGGAGGGGAGCAAGGGCATTTCCATACGCTTCAGAGCACAGGTGGAAGGAAAAGGCTGGGATGGAGCTTCAGCAGCAAACTGACTGGCAAATACCAAAGGCAGAGGGTGTAGAGTGAGGGGACAGGGGTGTTCAGAGACTCCTGCAGCTTTGTCACACTCTGCAGCTCCAATTCTTTTTCACTAGTAATTCATTCTGGACATAGATTCTTCCCACATTATTCCCATCACATATCATATGTAGGCAACAGATACAAATCTTGTTCCAGTTACCTGCAGTGCAGGGCAGAAATTGGAGGTGTCGTTGGGGTTGTTGTAGTCGTACTCGCCGATCTCATCTTCGTGATCCGAGCTGTCCGGCTGAGATGTCCTGGAGAGCTACAGCGACACGAGCAGGGATCAGGAAAGTAAAAATTTGTTCCTTCATCACCTCCCCTTTTCCCAGCCGGCTGGCTCTTCCTCCTCCTCGCGTAGCAGCCCCCTCACAAGCCCCTTGTGAAGCACGACAGCTAAGCACAGCTGCTTCGGAATCCACGAGTGAGTGGGTCAGTTCAGCCCTGAGGAGCATCCCGAGCGCCCGAAGCAGTTGGTGAGGAGTGGGTTTGTGCACAGAATCCTTGAGAAGACTCTTACCTTCACAGCTGGTTTGAGGAACAGCTGGAGAATGTTGCTGGGGTCATAGTTGAAGTCTCTGGGAAGTGTGGTGCTCTTCACGTTCTGGCTTTCCAGGATGGATTTGGCGAGAGTTATGGACGCCTGGGGACCACAGCAAATACCATTACCCACGAGATTAATGCACAAAGAAGTGCATTGAACACAGGCCTTTGTCTGAAAAGGGGCAAGTTCTGAGATGCCTCCAAAGAGGAGTTCCAGTCAGTACGCTCCGTGGCCTCTGTGCAGCACCCTGGGACACGCGTCTGGACCTCCGGGGTCTCTTCGCCTGACAGGGGATAAGCTGGGAAGAGTCCAGCCTGATTCTCCCCCCCAGGCTGGTAAAACTCCCTGTTTGTAAGGTGACCTGGAGTCAGAGCTCACAGAGCCAGTTTCACAGGAGCACGAGATGAGTCACTGGCAGATGACAGTCCCAAGACACCCCCATGTGGCAAGAGAGCAGAAAGAGGCAGGAACTCCTCAGCACCTACCTTGGTCTGACGGAAATATGCCTCAAAGTCAATATCCTCATCAAAGTTTATTTCAAACGCTTTCTTTGCGTTCCTTTTCTTGGTCTCTCTTTCAGAGTCAGCGTCTGCTGCAGAAAGGAAGGAAGCTGTCAGTGCGTTGTGACAGTGTGAGGACAACAAGCCCACTCCTAACCCGAGCATCTGCTCCACGCAGGAAGGTCACCCACAAGGACTTTTTTCCCCTTTGTTAGGGGAAAGCAGTAGGTGTTGTTCCCAGCTTCATGTTTTAAAGGGACCAGTCTCTTTTTATAGAAGTAGAAAAGTGTAATTTAATCATCAGTTTTTATGCAGAAGGTGGGAAACAAGAGCAGGAGCTGGATTAGTGCTAGCATTTCCTACTGCTGCAGTGAGAGATGCTCCCTCAGCTTCGAGCATCGTTAATAAATCCAAAAAATAGAGAATGCTTTAGACACCAAAGGATCCACGTGTGACTGAGAGCCTTCCTGGTGTCTGAGCTCAGTCCTGCTTCCCATCTGGCCAGAAAAGAGCCGGGCAGGCTTGTCCCCTCCTTTACTGTCCCTACTTTACCACCCAGATGCCACCCAGTAGCTGCAGCTGTAGGGTACGAACCTCTGTCTCTAGATACATACGTTTGTGCCGAGGTTTGAAGCGCCAGTGCTCTGGGCCAGCCCACATCGACAGAATTCGGGGACTGAAGTAGGAATATTCCCCTGGTTTCATGGAGAGATGAAGGCACAGGGTCCCGATGTCTCCCTCTCTGAAAGGAACCGCATCAATTCTGCAAAGAGCACACACGCTGCTCAGTGAAATCATTCCTTCGGCACACGCCGGGCCTGAGCGTGCATTTAATATCCAGCTCAGCTCTGCACGGACGTCGCCCGCTCCCTCTGCCTGCGTGTGTGCAGACTCGCACTCTTTAATCAGCGAACGGTGTCGGGGCTGTCGCGCTGTCTGGGTTCTGCGGGGCTGCTGCAAAAACCGAGGTTGATTTGTGAAAGGGCAGCCTGGAAACTGGGCAGCAGAGCGAGCCCACAAGCAATTACTCTGGGGAAAAGCGACCGTATGGAAAGTTCCTCTTGGAGGGCAGAGATATCATTGTAATGCATCCCTGGACATACCTGAAACTCGAGCAGAAAGCAAGCTGCAGCCAGAGGGGAAACGTGCACAGAGTAAATTAAAGATTCCCCAAAGAGCTGCCAGAAGTTGTCGCTTGCTATTAAAGCAAAGTGATGATTCCAGTCCCTACTCACCGCTTGCTGTCCTGGACTGTTCCAAAGGAGTTGAGCTTGGCTGTGAATTCCCCAATCGTGTCTGTCACTGTGTTCCTGGGGGAGTCAGAACTGAAGTCATCACCTGGCAGGGCGGGGGCACAGTCTTCCACATCGCTGTCGATCTCCGCGTTGATATCGAACACTTGGTCGCTCTTCTTATATTTCTCCAGCAGGGCTGACACTGACTGTAGGAGAAGGGGCTCAGGAAAACAACCAGGATATCGGCGGCCCGGCAGCGCAACATCCCCCTGCCCTGTGGGTCTCAGAGATCGCTTTGGAGGCGAGCACAGAACACAGCTCGAGGATCCCACCCGGCACAGAGCGGACAAACGTACCTCATCCTGGGATTCAGCATCCCATTGTGTGAACTGGAACCCAGCCAGTGAGGAGCAGACAGGGAGTTTCTCGATGCACTGCGCCAGCAGGGCTGGAGACAAGGGGAGCAAGGGGAAGGGATTAAACACAGGGTGAAGCGGCCAGCAGCTAAAACAAGTGCCAGGCGTTAAATCATTCTTAAAGCCGCATATGTAGGCGGGACTTCTCACACGTAGGGCGTCACGGGGCTCCCTGCAAAAGCAGTCGGGCTCATTTCTCAGCAGAAATGGAGAGTTCAACTGCCACCCTAACTCAAGGGTGGGCATAACACTGGGAATCTGATCAGAGCAGCGGGGTTTGGCAGCATTTACAGGCTCAAAACTCTCTGAGAAGGTCAGTCCTGAACCTGGAGCACACTAATCCCAACTGCTGCACAGCTTGGACCACGTACACGTGCTGTGTGACAGATCTGACACCGGTTAAGCCACGCGTAGCGATCCAAAACCTACAAAGATTCTGTTTTTCCAGCAACCAGTCTCAACATGAGCAGAATCAGAGCAATGGTGCCACAGGGCAGCCGAGCAGTGAACGAGAGCTGGCTGAGACTGAAACAAGCACGCTTGGGAGACGAAAAGGAGCAGAAGGTCTGGGTGGGCCCCTTCGCTTAGCGGTTACTGGCACTCACGCTTTAGATCCGTCACTTTCACGGGATCAGAGTTTGGCAGCGTGAGCGTCTCTGAAGAAGGCAGAGGCACGATCTCGGAGTCGAAGAGGAGCTCGCTGCGGCAGTTCTGGGTACGCAGCCCAGTGAGGAAAATGCCAGCCGTGCTGCATTCATCGAAAGCTGCGGCTGTTTTCTGGAACATGGGGTCAACCTGCAGGTGCAGGATGAAGCAGAGAATCAAGGAACGGAGTAGGTCGAGGGGCTGGAGCAGGTCTCTCAGGAGACTTTTAAGTATAGATCTGAAGGGAGAATGACCCGTGAATCTTTTTCAGCGAGGAGAGAGCTCCCACAGCTGCCTCGCACCAGAGGAATGTACGTGACTGGGAACAACTCTAATCGCAGAGTTCACAGACATGCGTATGAATGAATGTTAGAGCCCACGAGAGGAATGCACAATAAGGAAAGCAATAGAAATGGGAAAGACAAACCGACTTCTCCTTTCCTCCCCCAGAACGCAGCTGCTCCAGCAGCCCCCCTCCACCCACCTCACGTCTGCGACTGGCCTCCGACACGTTGATGTTGTTCAAGTTCTGCTCGATGGTTTTGAACGAGTGCTTCTTCTTCGTCTGAACTCTCTTGACAGCCTCAGGAGATGGACTGCCTTCTAAAAGGGAAAGAAGAACATGTTACACTCAGAAAACTTGCTGAAATACCCCACGGAGGGAGAGCACAACTTTTATTTTGGTTTGTACAACCAACACACAAAACCCTCTGGGAATGAAGTTACACAATCAGGTATCCATCAGCATGAACCACCTGTGTTTGATTGGCTGGATGCTGCATTTCTTTCTACCAACTCTTGTTTTATCTTAATGGCATATTTTCGTTTCAAAGCAAAGGACAGCAATGAGTGGGGCACTTCATTTTTAATGTTTGAGATTAGGCCACCTCTGGTTTGCACTCAAATCTGATGAGACAAATCGCTGAATACAGGATTGAGGAACAGACTCAGGTTTTCATCTCAACCCTACCTGCACAAGCACCCAGGAAAAATAACTCAGGATTTCCCAGCCCTTGAAAAATGAAGATAGCAGTACTCTCCTGGATGCACAAGCATTTTGAAATTCACGGGTGCTATGTTAGCACATGGACATTTCTCTTACGCGCAGGTGGAACAGCAACAGCTTGACAGAAAAGGAGCAAATGGCACACCTGCTTCTGGGCTGTCCGTGTTTTTCGTCGGTGCCAAGTCCTTGCCCAAGCCTCCAAGAACTTTGTACGTATCTGCGTGGACCGCATCCACGCGCACGGCGTAAATCTTCGCACTGGCATCGAGCGTGCCAGCTGCTATCTGACAGGAGGAACACATGTTGCAATTTTTATCTAGAAAGGAAAAAGTCTCATCTGGAAGATGCAAATGCAGAAGAGTTTCCTCAGTTTCATCAACAGCTAGCTCAGGGGTTCCTTGAGGCCATGTTCGAAAGCTCGGCCATTGGTTCAGTTCTCCCTCCTAGCATCAGTGAACTATTACAGTAAGTCTTTGCCCTGGCAAGTTCTTAGTCGGGGAGTTGGCCACACCAACTTCCTTTCTTTCCCAGCCCTGTTCTGTTACGGGTTGTAACAGCCAGTATTTACCTCAGAAGCCTCACAAGTCTTACTTTCAAACAAGCTCTCCTTTTGAAGGACCATAACTGAAAGAAGTCAGCTTTTCATTTCTGTGGTACAAAAGGGTTCAATGCTGTCAGCTTCTGCAAAAAGTGGCTGTGCTGCCTCTACCAGATATTTTTAGTGGAATTAATCAGCTCAGTTAATTTCAGCATTATTTGGGGTTTGATATTGACTAAGCCTCAGGCTAAATGCCACCGTGACCAGGCAGCGATTCCTCTCACCTTGAAGTTGGTCGGTTCAGAGTCCTTCTGCTTCAGGATCTCAGCCATATAGTCTATCAGGTGTAAGCCAAAGGCATTCTTCGTGGTGATTTTCTAAAACAAAGCAGGGCTCAGAAGTGATCCCCTGGCAAATGACACCTGCCACAACCATCTGAACCCTCATCCCGCGGGGTATTTACAGCAGGACCAGGGGGATACAGTCCAGGCCCTGTCCTATGTGTCCCGGGGGCATCCCCAGCAGCATGAGCAGCAGGGCGAGGGAGGGGATTGTCCCCCTCTGGTGAGCCCCCCCCCTGCAGTGCTGCACCCAGCTCTGGGGTCCTCAGCACAGGACAGACACG